CATGAACCACCCTGTCTTTTTCCAATTAAATGTCAGTTGATAGTGAATGAAAAGTTGAGATATGACAAAAAAATATGAGGCGCTTTGACCAATAATGAATAGTTTTGAGAAAAAAATTCTTAGATTGACAAATCCCTATTTTCAACTCTCTATATCTCTGTGACCATTCCCGCTAGATTTCAAGTGTGATGCATTGATGAAATCAGCTCTTCAGGAAGAACCTGAGAATGTAATGGATCACAGGGTGTCCCTTCTGAAAAAGTCTACTAATACCCTGTAAATCGTTTGTTCCGAGCATCCTGTATTTTTCTGATATAGCTGATAAATGATTTCTGAAAAATAATGTTTGATGATTTCTCGAGGTTTCTAATCGATTCCGAAATAAATGAGCTAGAGGAGGGGGCATTCATGGTGAATCACCCTGTACCTGGAATAAGATACATTTGGGATAATGAGATGGGTATGAAGATAGACGAAATCGTTATGCAAATGCCTGAGCAACGTGCCGAAAATGTAATGTTGGCAGTTCTATCGAATGTATTACGTGATCTGCCGCTTATAATCCAGATGGTAATGATTTTTCATAAAATGAGTTGAATTTGTTTTATTTGAGTTATATTTCTTTGATTCCTTTCCTTCTGAGGATATATCATCATCCATTTGTGGAATAGCCGTTTGATGAATGCAATAATACATTGTGGTTTTTCAATGTCCTTCCTATGAAATGATAATTATTATGTCTGAGAATATTCGAACAACTGTTAATCATGTACGAGCTTCAAAGACATAACCTTCAATCAATTTATTTTATATAATGTCATTTGAAGACATACAGTTAGGCAATGAATTGTCTTCATTTCCAGGATGCCACTGAAGGAATTAATCTAGGAAAATTACGGTGCTGAAAAAACGCATATGAATGTTCTCTGGTTGTAGAAAATAGAATGTCCTTTTGAGGCTTTTAGCGTCAGATTGAGTGGGATGACCCACTGACAAAAACTACTAACTAGACCGCTAATGCCATGAGAATGATGAAGCATTTTGGGACCATTTTTGCTGTCTTTTTTTTATGTTCTGGTTCCCACGAGAAGGGATATCCTGTAATGTTCAGAGAATATCGTGGGAACCAAGGGAAATAATAAGGTGAGAATTGGTATTGGTGTTCTTCTCAAATTTCTGGAGGTGGTATGGCTTGGAGAACATTTCCCTTGGCAATGTGTTCCAGAGCCCCACTGTTCGTTGGATGAACGAGTCTTTGGAAAGAGATTTTCTGCAGGTCTCCAAAGTGACCACGAAGGGGTGCGAAGCCTCAACTCGACGTGTGAATCTCGCGGTGACTGCCAAGGAAGGAACAATTGTTGATATTCCAGAAGAGCATCGTCCATGAGGATATCTATAAAATAGAACCAGATCGCCAATTTTTCCACGGTTCTCCAGAGAAGTGAGTGAGTTTGTGAGCGAGGCATCACCCATGAGACGAATTGCCTTGGAAGGGAAATAGCTCCTTGCCTGAAACAGAAAACCAAGTTTTTGGGATGCACTTTTAGCAATTGAACTCACGTGATTTTCCCAAGAAAGGTTATTGCTGATGGAGCAATAATTTGTGGACATCTGTGGCAAAGTTGGGGCGATTTGCTGATATCTGTCTAGATGGCCGAAGACTGGTCAACAAAGTTCTGGCAATATAATCCTAGCTGTGGGGACCCGTGGCGATGGATGAATGGCACCGAAGTATAGTGTCGCTAACGGGGCCTATGGGAAACAGCCTCAGCCCTGTGCGGGGGGCACCACAGGGAAGAACCAACCCCTACCCTCGGAAAACTTCTGGCCATCTTCGTAGACGAGAACAGGGATCAGAAAAGTAATCTTCAAGAACCTGCACGAAAAATGTCATTCAGATTGAAGTGGCCCTAAACAAGCACCATGAATCGTTAGTATATGGTAAAAGGTATAACGGCATGTAGGTGATATTCAATGGGCCACTAGGCCTAAGTGTCGTAGGAGACATCGGTCAGACGAGCCTTCAAACGGGGTGGAGTGTTTAGTGGATATACCCTGGAGTCAGGGGACTCCCATACTATCAAATGGGGGATCAGACCCATATGATGTCCGTAAAGGATTTCAACCACCTCGACGAAAATAAAAATAAACTGGGAATGAATCATGACTAGCCTGAGATTCGAAATCCCTTCACCGTCTCAAGACATCTCTATGCGTCCAGCAGTTCAATGTCGTCGTATAACAGTAGATAAACAGGGGTTAAATTTATGATAAATGTTTGCAAGGGCCGTAGAGCGAATTTATCAGTATAAACGGCCCGCCTGATGTCCCATCAAGAATTCAACGAATACCCGACTTCCGCAACTGAATATCAATATTTTTATCGTCTCATACATCTTTCATCTCTCATTCCACAGGATGGGATGCGAATCCCCGTGCCACCCCTTCCAGCGAATCCCTCGGGAGCCCTCCGGGTTGGGCTTTCTCTCGGGCAATTCTGGTTTCGTTAGTGGTTTTTGAATTTTCACGGAGGAGACCGATTAACCTTCAATTTTCATCTTTGTCATGATAGACTTACCAGCAATCCGGCTATTAATGTTCCCCAAGGACCCCAGGAGTGCATGAGGAACAGAGTTTATAAGTTATAGTAGGTATACCGGGTGACCCATCATTCTCGTTGTTAATTTTTGTGATATGAATTTTCAATATGTCGTAGTGAATAACGAATTAAGTCGTTTCCCTAATATGTCCCATGAACATCCTTAGGACGTCTTGTCAAGACATTCAGAACGTCCATAGGACGTTCAAATTTGGTACCGAGGACGTCCATTGGACGTCTGTGGAAAGCACATATATCCCACTTGAGGACTATCTAGGGACGTCCTTGAAGAATTCCATTTTCAATGGTATCAAAAGTAAGAATATAACCTCCGAATAATAAATGTGAATATACATTTTATCATTATTTTATTTCAATAACCTACGACCTTGCTCTGTCCTTACAAGAATTCACATGCTCAAGTAACAATAAACCCATATAGCACGAGTACGTCCCCAAAACGTACTAAGAACGTACCCGGCCAAGACGTTTCGTTCGTACTGGGGACGTCCAGATTCCGCGCGTTTGTACATCCTTTAGTACGTCCATTCAGGACCATGGATACATAAATCGACGTAGATCCGCCTCTTTTCACTCAGATAGTCAAAAAATAGATTTAGATAAAGTAGCAAGTCCTATTTTGAATGAAAAAAATTGAAAAAAAAACGCTCTCACCGGGGATCGATTCCACGACCTTTAGATCACCAGGCAGATAATCAACCTATTACTCTGAAGAACACTAGAGTTGATTAACATTATACAAGGTGATTCTAAAATAGGTGGTCAAACTTTGGGAGTATATAGAGTGAGTGAAATAATTACGAAAACCTCGGTAACATTTTTTTCTGAAGTGCCCCCCAAGAAAGATACAGCCCCTCAAAGGGGGGCTTCGGAGAATGATTTTGTACTATTATCGCCAACACCTTGTAAGATGAAAATCTAAAATTTTGTTTATCCACTAACTATTCAGTGCCGGTTCGAATAGAGTTAAAATCACCTCAAAATTAAATACAGGGGTGTGTCAAAACAGGGAGGTGGGGGGTAAAAATAACCCCAACTTTTTTGTTCATCGCAATTTCAGTTTTTTTACATAAAATTATGAAATCTCAGGGCTATTAACATAGAAAAGGATCTCTTGTTGGATCTTGATAAACTGAACCATTAGCGAATAAAATTTATTTTTCCATGATTTCATTTAAATTGCAATTTTGGTATGCACTTAAGTTTAATTATCTAGTTCAAATCTTGCAACTGAAATTTCACCTACTTCTAATCGTCTGATCAACTTGGAATCTGGCAGATGACAGTTGACAACGCGTTATGGACTTTTTGATAGAAAAAAATATGGCGGCTCCAATGTGGCTGACCAGATTTTCGATTCGATTCAAAATTGGTTTGTAAGGGTTTTTGGGGTTTGGAAATTTTGAATTCATTGTCGGAATCGATGAATTGACAATAGACGACGAGTTTCGTGATTATGGTCTGATCCTATTGAAAATACTGAAATGAAAAATATTGTTAAAAACAAGCTTTTTTTAAATTGTATTCACTAATAGTTAATTTTATCGAGATGCAACAAGAGCACCTTTTTCATGTAAATAGCTCTGAGATTTCATAATTTCATGTCAAAAAACTGAAATTGCGATGAACAAAAAAGTTAGGGTTATTTTTGCCCCCTACCTTATTATTTTGAGACGCCCCTGTATTTTATTTTGAGGTGATTTTAACCCCATTCGAACTGGCACTGAATAGTAAGCGGATAGACAAAATTTCAGATTTTCATTATACAAGGTGTTGGAGATAATAATACAAAATCATTCTCAGAGGCCCCCCTTTGAGGGGCTGTATCTTTCTTGGGGGTCACTTCGGAAAAAAATGTTACAGAGGTTTTCGTAATTATTTCACCCACTCTATATGCTCCCAATATTTGACCACCTATTTTAGAATCACCTTGTATAACAAGCAATATTATGTGCGAATGCCGATTGACGGCAGAGAATACCTAAATATATGTTTTGTGATCTGGTGGGGCCAGTAAATAATGAATTTATTGTGAGCATGGTATTATGTTTATGTTTGCAAGGTTCCTACATGAATAGATTTCAGAGATCGAGGGTAGAAATTAGAAAATAGAAAGATTTCGATTATCATCAAACGATTCATTCAATCCCGTAAACAAAAAACCGATAACGTCCAGAGTTGGACGTACCCAGTACATCGGAATCGTACGTACCCAGTACGTCCAGAAATGTACGTTTTCAGTACGTCTTGAAAAGGTCCCGGACGTTCAGACCTAAATGGGACCTAAACTGGATGTCCCCAGGACGTCGAGTGCTATATGGGAAGGCTATTTTGATTTGACTTCTTTGTTCCAGACCCCGATGTGAGTGTTGGCAGGCCAATGTGCCGCCCGTCCCTCGGCGGCCTGTCCCGTCAGGGCCTGCTCTGGGGAGTTGCCGCCCTTGCCGCCCTCTCTGCTGCCCTCGTGGGCGGCTCGTGGCTGTTCACCAAGGAGCCAATCGCGCTGCCCCATTCGCGCATAGCAACCTCGATCACGTTCCGGATCGGTCTGTGGAGGGTGTGTCCCAACGTCGAGAGGGTCAACAGGACCATACGTGAGTCGATTATACGCTTTTATCTACAACTATGGAGTCGTTCATACATTGCTAACTCGATTTTCAACATTCAATGACAGACATCATTATGATGAGTCGAGGGTAATTTCGCATTTATCATGCGATGGGTTTTTTTTCGAAATTTTCTCTTGGTACCTACGTATTTTTGTCTGAAAAACCCGAATTTAATAATGAAAATGTGAAAAAAACATTGTTCATTAAGATATTTCACTATAAAGGTACAAATTTCACCTTCTTTTCTGCCTGTCTTCTGGATCGCGTTTAGAACAATTTGCCCTTCTTTTTCCATCATTGGACAATAATTTATATATATCACACAATGTTAGACACATTTTTTTATCATATGAATCAACTAGAAATATAATTTTCTAGTGATTTATCCATGTTTAGTGAAAGAAGGAAGAATATAATTTGAAATAGTGGCGTGTGTAATGTCATTCCAAAGCAATCTATTGACATTTGACATCTCGTATTTGAATTGCCTATGGATTAAATGGCCGTCATCTGGTATGCTTGCTCACTAAATAGAAAAAACTCACCATAAAAATCATATTTCCTGTTGAATTTTCTAGCTCAAAATGTGTCATTGAAGTACATCGTCATGAATATATAAAGTGTCCACTGACAAAATAAAAAGAGCAAGTACCTGTAAATGCATTCAACACAAGGGGAAAAAGAAGGCAACATTTCGAACTTTTTCTTGAAATATTTCGATAAATAGTGGTTTGTTCACATTTTCTTTATCAAATTCGTGTTTTTCAGACAAAAATGCGTGAGTACCAGAAAAACATTTCGAAAAAAAAAACCATCGCATGATATAAGTACAAAATTACCGAATCGAGTAATACGAGTAATAATGACAGTAGGACAGCGTAATAATCTGACATCCCATCGTCTTGTCAAATTCAACTAGGTATAGGTATTCGTTCTACTAGTTCAACTAAAGCACACCACTATACTACTGTTTGTGAAATACACGCAAATTGCAAATTCAAAAGACTCACCTTACATGATTCTCATAGTTTTAATCACCTCAATTCTACAAATACACGGAAAAATGAGAATCCACTGTTTTTCAATCTCAACAGTGACTAATAAAATAGGACTTGACACTTGACAGTTGCAGATCGGCACACACGTATGTGCGGGCTATTCGAATAGATTAGTACAGACCATTCAGAACCATGGAACTTCATTGTTGATAACTAGCGTCTAGAGACAGGGTACTACAATTAATCATCGCGGTGGGGTAACGCTACAGCGGAAGCAAGTTAATGAATAATCTGCAATAGTATGATAAATTTTACAACTGAAAAGCGAAATGGCATTTAATACCTGGTATGACTAACTGATATGTGATTGCACAACTTTTTTTCTGTTAATAAAAGTTAGATCCAACATTGTTTATCATATTTTCACAATCAAAATTATTGAAATAAGTTATAAGCTGTTCGTTGATTGAAATTTTTGTCGATAAGTTGTCGATGAAATTAATGATTTTGCAATATAAAAACCTTCATCATTTCCAAAAATATATTTCTGAACTCTCAGAGTTGCCTTGATATTTGAATAGTTGTAGATAAAGTAAAGTATTCTACTCGCACATAATGACTATCACCCACTCAGATGATTACAGCACTCGCCTTCGGCTCGTACTGCAACTTTCATCTTCGTGGGTAATAGCCATCATTATGCGCTCGTTGAATAATATACTATTCTCCAACATCTACTGTACGTACGTAGATGGACGAACATTAGATTTTATAAATGGGAATTCCATTCAACTGCAGTATCAACGGTAAGAGAAGTATTTATTCATCATCATACAGCTCTTTTTCAAGTGAGTCTGACAATTGGTATATTCGTAATGCCGATCAAGTATTTCATACTCCAACAATATAATTGAATCTACTCACAAGATGACATTACTATAGCAGAGTTATCCGTTTGTGTCCTTGTTACTGAAACTGTTTGAATGATATTACGTGATAGTTTAAAGCAGTTCCTATATCCAGCAATATCGATTCTATAGAAATCCACTCATATCGTGTAATCCTTTGGGTTCAAACTGAACTCCATTCGAATTCGCAAGTATCTGACGGATACCAAGTGCCCCTTTGAATATTGAATAAACATTGCAGACCACCTAGATTGCTTTGTACCCCTCAGACTCCGTCTAATATCTTACTCTCAAGTTTCTACCACAATTAACCAGGATAGGATTATGAAGGATCTCTCTGGGGCAACGAAAAGGTCAACAGTGGCATACGTGAGTTCGCAATTAAGATCTGAGCAGGATTAAGACGTTATCATGTTGTTTCATAATATTATGGGTCAGGGATTATAGCAGGACAATGATGTGAGTGATTAACGATAGCCTGATAGTACTAGATATGTCGACCAAGATTCTTACCTCATATCGTTCCGGTTAAAACCGCACGGAATTGATAGACCATCATTTCTTTTTCTTTTAACGGCGAAAGTACATTTTGAATAGGAATAGTCGGTCTAGATTCTAGAAGAATACATAACAAAGTGATATGGAAACAGTTAAATAAAAGCTATCTATTATGCTGGACAGTTCTGACTGAATAAAATGCATCAATGGAGTGAAAACAATGTTCTAACAGGAACGATTTCAAACCAAATTCGAATCGTTCATTATAACAAGATGTTTTGATGTCATGTGGTAGATGATTCAATATTCTGGGGCCTATATAATTCGGAGAATTCTGTGTTATTTCATACCTGGCAGCAGGGGTGCGAATTTCATTTTTCCTACGAGTATTGATATTGTGCAAATCCTTATTTGATTGGAAATCGTTCCTATTACTGTAAATATAAACTGCTAGTTCATAGATATATGAACTAGCAAGGGTCGAAATTCCATGAGAAGTTGAGATGATTCTACATGAAGACATTTTGGAAGTACTGAATATGCAACGTGAAATATATGTTTGTTGGATAAAGACATTTTTGGCTAAGGTTGAGTTGCCCCACAATATCCTGTGATGTTCAGAGTACATCGTGAGAACCAAGGGAAATAAGGTAGGAATTGGTGTTCTTCTTGAATTCCTGGAGGTTATATGCCTCGGGAAACACCTACCTTGGCAATGTGTTGCAGAGCCTCGCTGTTCGTTGGATGAACGAGTCTTTGAAAAGATATGTTCTGCAGGTCTCCAAAGTGACCACGAAGGGGTGCGAAGCCTCAACTCGACGGGTTAATCTCGCGGGGACTGCCAAGGGAGGAACAATTGTTGATATTTCAGAAGCGAGCATCTTCCATGGAAATATCTATGAAATAGAGCCAGACCGCCAACTTTTCTACGGTGTTCCAGAGAAGTGAGTGAGTTTGTGAGCGAGGCATCACCCACGAAACGAATTGCCCTTTTTTGGGCAGAATCCAACAGTTTCAGGATATGTTTGGGTGCTGCACTCCAAATATGGGAATAGTATTCCAGGACAGGTCGGATCTGTGCCTTGTAGATCAAAAGCAGCTGACTGGAAGTGAAATAGCTCCTGGCCCGAAACAGAAAACCAAGTTTTTGGGATGCACTTTCAGCGATTGATCTCACGTGATTTTTCCAAGACAGGTTATTGCTGATAGTAATACCAAGCGTCGAAATGGATGCCTTCAAAGGTATGGTTACTCCTGACAAGCTTATGTTGGGCACAGTGAGATCGGCTTCTCTATTTGGGTGCCGTCAGCAAATTAACGAAAATAAAATTATGTCTTTTAATATTCGTTCAAATTAACAAACCTGTATCAAGCACTTTCAGTTCCATTTGTACCCAATTAAATAGCTATTGCCTTAAGGAAGTTTCAACAAATTTTTAACAAGTGATGTGGCATAGAGATTTCCCTGAAAATATCCGCTAGAAACTGTTCAAATCCACAAATCACTAACCAAAATACGACTATGTAATTATTATTATTCTATGATCTGGATTATTTCTGCAATTTTTCGAAGACCATATGGTTTTGACCATGTAGTCCAGTTGGAAGTTTGATAAAATGTACAGCAGATTTTTGGGAAACTAACTTTTTTTGACCCCCGAAGTCTACTTCTTGGAGTAAAACAATAAAGTTTGGATATTTCATGAATTTTCAACTTTTGCATAATGCATATCAAAGTTAAATTCACTCCTTACCACTTTCCCTCCATCACATATTCGAAGGAATGTATCGAATTATAAGTAACCATGTATAATTCAAAGTTAATCTGTGCCATCATCTTGAATTTGCAAACGTTAACAAACAAAGCTGTGCATATCTCGAAAATATGCATACAGAAAACATAATGGCAAGGAAAAATCATACCTTCATTTATCTGAAGCGAGTTCCATCTGCGACAGACGACACCTGCTAATAATATTATGCTGGTATTTGCCATAAGCAATTCTGCCACAGCTGAAAATGGATTAAAAAGTCTAGAGTGCTTCTGATGGAACGCCTCTAGGGTAATACGATGTTCATGGCTTTATGAGAGAAGCTCTATACTCAAATTGTCTTTTCTCTGATGGAAAAGACCATTTTTCATACAGCATACAGGGTATGTAATATAATTCTTCATACTCACTACATGCGATACATTCAGTGAACCGTTCAACAAAATATAAATTCTTAAAAAAATAATCCACAATGAGCACACACGATAGGGTTCTGAGTAAATTTTTAATAACGATAATATCAATCAAATAAATCAACCTGAATACATTAAGGGCTATATTAATCATAATAATAATATTTATTTCTCATTAGGCACAGATAACATGTATTGAAATCGTCAAAGTACACACAAAGCCATAACATACAGTTCATAGTGTAAGTAACACCATTCTTCACAAAATGGTAACAGCAAAAGCGCAAATACACATTTATTCCACGAATCATACAATTCTTGTAAATTATAAAAATAATTTGCAATCAA